TTCTCTGCCTTTTCTACCCGTCTCTCCCCTTTCTACTTCTTCTCCTTCTTTCTGTTTCTCAGCAAGTGCCCCGCTGTGAAAGAACTACCCCCCTCCACAGTCCCTCTCACCACCCTCGAGGCTGCCAGGCATGCCTACTCGTTCACGTACGCGCAAATCCATGTATGTGGTCGCCCCCCTTTCTACTTTGTCTCCTCCTTTCTGTTTCTCTCTTTCTCTTCGCGAATGTCTGTTGCCACGCCTTTCCCCTTTTCCCCCTTTTTCAGAGATGGTCGCCCATCACACGGCTCTCCAACCTGAGTACCCTTTGTGGCGTGCCTGACACGGTGGAATTTGCTTACGCTGTGCTTGGAGGGCACACCTTCTGCACAGAGGGACCCAAACTGCCTCAACAGCAACAGTTCAATAGTCGACATCATCATCTTCGTCATCATTCAAGAGCTTTGAGCATCACTTAAACCATTAGTACACCACCGGGCAAACTTTAGAATAAAAACGGATACTTCCTAAAGTTAGGGGACTCACCGCACTCTGCGCCTGGGGCCGGAGGAAAAAAAAATGAGACCCGCGTGTCAGGTTGGCACTAGCGCTGCAGAGGACAAAAAACACATATGCCCGGCAACAGACCCGGCCTAGGGCAAGCGCCCTAACTTTTAGGAATTGACTCAATTGAGCCATTTTGCTTCGGAAAAAAAGAGGCCGAGATGTACTTGTGGTTCTACCAGCCGAGCCGCCCGGGTCACCCTATTTTCCCGGACGGCCCGGCCGTGCAAGGACCAGGGAAGGCCCTAGCAAAAAAAAACAAAAAACAAAAAACTCAGAAAAATCCGAAAAAAGACTATGTTATGCAGAAAAGTAGCCTGAACAACTTTTGCCTCAGGGTCACATCGAAATTCTTTACCAATTTAAAAATAAAAAATAATGTTAAAAAATCATTTTTTATTATTTTTTTATTTTTATTTTTGGCCCGGCCGGGCAAGTGGCCCCGGGCCACTCTGATAGCCTAGGTTCTCCAAATCTTAGCAATTGGAGCCCACAGTTCTTTTTTCCTTTATTTTATATAAGTGGGCTTATTTGTTGTCATGTTTGCTACACAGAACTCCCCACAAAAAAAAGCATGAGCGTGCCAGACTGATTCGTCGGGCTTTCATCGACGATTTGTCGGGCTTTCATCGACGATTTGTCGGGCTTTCATCGACGATTCGTCGGGGCTTTTATCGACTCCTCCGTAGGGTTAAGTGCCAGCGCTAGTGTCTAACAGGGAAAGGGCAGAAACACCAGGCAACATATCCGCAGTGTGTACTTTTCTAAGATGCAGCAACATACCACCACAACGTTCCCCGGCCAATTTTCTAAGACGCGGCTGAATGCAGACCACGTCTTACGGGAAGAACGAGGCTGTATACATCCAAGCAAAATGAGGCCCGACATGCAAATCGACTTGCCTGGATGTCACTTTTGGGGACAAGCATGCCAGTTCATCCCGCAAGACACGGCGTTCGCCACATACTCCGAACAAGTCGGGGCCTGAGCGCCCTCGATAAAATTCATCAATGGCCTCAAAGAATAGCAGTGAGGGGGTCGCAGCAAATGCTACAGCCCGTACTGGCGGTTTAAGGTCTCTCCCTAACCCAGGCTGGAAAAGATTAAAACTCTACAATTCCTCTCCTCCAACGACATCTGAGATCACTTTTTGCCTTAGGAGCTCGCACCACCAAGAGACACCAAAACAGTGATACCTAGCCGGCGACGCAGCATGACCGCTTACACCCACCACACGATTAACACATCCAACGGACACGAAATTGGGTGGACAGAGTCGCACCCGAGGGCCATAACAGTTAGAACGTGGTAGATAGAACCCAACACTTCCCTCAATTCCTTTCCTAATACAAGTATATACTATATAGTAGAATAAGAAATAGACAGCAGAAAACCCAGCCCTGATTTCCTTCCCAGGAAAAAAAGGATGTACACCTCAAACACGACTTCTCAAATGTTTCTTGAACACATAGAAGCTTAGTCAGCGAGAACTTCCTGCAGTGGTATGGATCCAAAAAAAACATACCATACAGTTTGCACTGCAGCATCAAAAAAATTTCCTACCCCACAGCACATTACCTTCTTCCCCCAAACATAACGCACCCTGATAGTGACCGTACACAACCTATATTTCCGGTCAGGTTCAGCCCAGATGAGGGTACATTGTGTTCGGGGGTAGACAGTAGTCAATATTGACGGAAACCCACTCCACTGACGTAGACATGGGTGGGTACACATCTGCATGCGTGTGTTTTGTTTTGTTCACTGAGTCAAAACGACACTCAACCCCAACATCATGGACGATGCCGTGACTCCTTAATCATCAATCGAATGCATCTTCGACAGAGGTAGCGTTATACCCCTGAGAGAGAAAAAAGAGGTAGCGTTATACCCCTGTTTTGTTTTGTTCACTGAGTCAAAACGACACTCGCACCATCCCTGCAATCGTATCAGACTGTAGGAGCACTCTACAGACCCACTCTACACACCCACTCAGTCATGGACAAAAGTGGCAGTCCGAGAATAGCCATAAAACCCGCTCTACACACGCACTCAGTCATGGACATCATGTGAGTTTGTGTTGCATCCCCTACCCTACTACACACGCGCACGGAGCCACACACACAGACTGAACACAAGTGGTTAACCGGGACCACCACTATTCAGCTCGTAGGTTAACGGGTCAGAAACTGAAATTAGGGTTTGGGGGTCGAATTTTATGGTTTTTTTTAAACTTTTTTGAAGTTTTTTCCATTTTTAATTTTGGCTGTTTCCTGTTTTAGTTCAAGATTGCTGTTTCCAAAGGTTGACGTCTTTTCGTCCATTCGAATTTTATGGTGAAAAAAAGGTTAAAAAAGTCCAAACCAAAATAAGCAGGGCAGCCCACCTCCACCTCCCCCCCCCCCCCCCCCCCCCCCCCCCTACCTTCTCCCCCCGTCACCTCCATATTCGCCGCCTCCTTTCTAACCTCACTCCACTCCTTCCTCTTCCTTCGCCTGCCATAGCCCCAGCCTCCTAGTTTCCCCCTTCCCGCGCCCTCCCCTTTCCCAACTCGCCCCACTACTTCTCTTGCCTGCTCCCCGCCCCCTTCTCTTCGCCTGCTCACCGGTCCCATTTCTTCCCCCACTGCGTCCACTCCCTCCTTCGCTAGCAAGATCCCCTACAACTGGTTTTCCGCCAATTGCGGGATCCAGGACAACTTTTAAACTTTTTTGAAGTTTTTTCTTGTTTCGCCTGTTTCTTAAACATTGAATCAATCAATCATTCGATCAATCAATCAATCAACCGACCAATCTTTCTTGATTGATTGATTGAAGAAGATGAAAAAAAACGTCAAAAACAAAAACCGAAGGGCGGCTAACATCGCCCGTCCCTGCCTTCTCCCCCTGCTCACCTCAACGTCCACCACCTCCTTTGTCGCCTCCGCATGCCATAGCCCCATCTTCTGTGTCCCCCCCCTCCCGCGCCCTTCCCTTTGCCCGCTCGCCCCGCTACTTCCTCTTCCTCGTTTCCCACCCCATTCTCTTTGCTGTTCTTTTTTTAATTATCTTTGCCAATCAACCAATCAACCAATCAATCAACCAATCAACCAATCAATCACAGAATCGAATCGATTCGATCAATTCACTGAACGTTCATATGAATCGATTTGAATCTTTCATTGCTTGGTCGATTGATTGATTGACTGATCTGTTTGTAGGGACGGTGAAAACCAAAACAAACAAAAAACAAAAAAAACAAAAAAAAAAACGGAGCACCATATAGGACGGAGGGGGTCAAATGATGGAAGCATTGGGCAGAGGAGGGGGGTTACGAGGGGAGCAGAAGGGGGTCACAGCTGTCTCTTATACACATCTAGATGTGTATAAGAGACAGTCAGGAGGTTGAACCTGGAGAGACAGTCTGCCCAGGATTCATTTGACTGATGGATAGTTAGCGACACCGTGCGTGTTCGTGTGAAGTGTAGGCTGTGTAGCGGCTGCTGCAGGGATCTGGGAGATGGCAGCAGGAGAACCCGACACTAGATAAGGTAAGGGTGAAACGTTTGCTGCTGCAGTGGATGGCTGCCTTCCTCGCAATGTGCATATTGACGGCTGGTCTCGGTGGGAATCGTGTGACAAGGCAGGATGCACATACAGCGATGTACATCCGCCGCCGTTGCTCCACTAATCAGCAAATGTGCAAAATACGAACGAACCTTCCACTGTAACACGAGGAGATAGCGTCAGAGATTCTGTCTGGTGAGTACTGTAGCAAAGGGGGGGGCGGTAGCAAGGTAGGTGCGGTGGCGGGGTATCCACAGCAAAAAATTAAGGGAATGGAAAAAAATAAAAATAAAAGAACAAGAGCCTAAAAAAAAGGCGCCAAGAAAAAAGACGTCCTCGGCTGGAAATAAAAACGAACTACCCACCACATTTTGGGCCAGTACAAACTCCAGTTCCCAAATGCCACCGACCGGTAGGCCACATGCAGAATCCTGAAAAGGGCCTACCGGTCGGCCCGACTTCTTGAAGGCGGGTAACGTGGTGATTTAAACGAAAAAAACGAAGACGAACAGGAAGAAGAAAAGACCTTGCATCAGGGGAAAGGCCCAGAAGGGTATAACTAAGAAATCACCTGATGGGTATAACTAAGAAATCATTTTTCCCAGAAGGGTATAACTAAGAAATCACCAGGTCCAATTGTTAAAAATAACGAGTTATTACCATTATTAATAGCATCTAACCATCCAGGCAACCAAAGATTTGCACCTGCATTTAAAGCAGGGCTTTGATTAGAAGAAAGTAAAACATCAGNAGAGAGAGAGAGAGAGAGAGAGAGAGAGAGAGAGAGAGAGAGAGAGAGAGAGAGAGAGAGAGAGAGAGAAGAGAGGGTGAAGAAGGTGTCTGGAGAAACAAAGTCCACAGTAGACGCTCACCCAGAACTGAATTTGACCTTTCTGACTCGTGCATTAGCGCAAGGCTCTGTGGTTTTGATTGAACGGAAGCAGGAAAAAAGCATGTGTAAGAAAACAAACAATTGCAGAACTCAGGTATGACGCCAAATCTGTCAATCAGATGCTCACCACCAGCGAAGAAACCGACAACAATAGCTAGTCGTCAGACGCTTCCCATCCGCAAACCCAGATGTACTGCAATGGCAGAACTCAGGTACGAGGCCAAATCCCCTCCCCTCCATACACAACCCTCCCACGTTTACTTTCAATGCCTTCTATTCTCTCCACACTTCCCAGGTTTACTATTGATACCTTCTTTCCGCCGTGTCCAATTCGCAACGGCACCAAGCTGTGCCAAACTACCAGGAGTGCGCTTCGTTCTGCCTCTTTCTGCCATCTGTCGTGGCAGATTCGCAATGGCACCCAGCTTTGCCAAGCTGCCGGCGGCGCAGTTCGTCTTCCTTTTGGCTGGTGCCGCCAGACATTGTGGTATGGACCCTGAGCCCCAGAAGTTTGCGGAGGACCGGCTCGATTTCAAGTCTCGAGTTTGCCTGCGCAATGTACTGGCGGTTTAATATCCAAAATCATGCTGCCCTGTTTCCATCGCAATAGCCACAAAAGCAATCAAGCATGGGATACAACTAACTTACCCTCCTGCTCCTGCTCTGCCGTTCTCCCTGCATCATGCCGCGCAAAAGGAACCAGCCATTCTCTAGCTCCCGATCGCTTTTCACCTCTCTTTCCGCAAATAATATATTGCCACACAAAATAAAAACTGAGCTAGCTTCTCCATTCCCCTTATAAGGGAAATTACTGCTACTAGAAATCTATCTTTATCCTCCTCCGCTTACTCAGGCAAGGAGCTTAACGAATACTTGAGCACAGGAAGACGGTCCGACATGATTTGTGGAGACCTGAGCCAAGACCTTCCACAAGGAAAAGCAAACGAAACGGCTTTTACTCAGATTAATCAAAGCTCAAGACAACGACAAAGAAGAAGAAGAAGAAGGAAGTGATGTCAGCCACCTCCATTTACTCCTAAGGGTTCTATCAGAAGATTTCCTCCCTACGAGTTGCTGCCTTCCACACTCTCTGATGTTCTATTGCCCCTCCTACACCCCAGCAAGTTTGAAACTTCTCCAATGCCTAAGAAGCACCACGTACCTTTTCGTACGCAGGTCAGGAGTTTCAGTCCCCCAAAAGGGAATATCATCACTCGACTACACGGAGAGAAATGAATCGATCCTCGCCACCACATCACCATCATGTACCTTTTCAAAAGCAAGTCGTGATTTCGAGTCCCCAAAGGGCATATGATCACTTGACTACATGAAGAGACATGAGTAATCCTCGCCACCACATGCGGGCCGTCCTGGGACCTTTCTAAGAGAATCCCTCGACTACGCAAAGAGACACAACCTCGACTACGCAAAGAGACACAACCTCGATTACACAAAGAGACATGAAATCCTCGCCAACGCATCACCACCTGCTGACTAGAATACCAAATCCTTTGCCTCAGGCCAACCCATCATTTCCTCTCCTTCAAACTCTTTGTATGCCTTGTCAACGTCTCAAGAAACAAACCCAACCACGACATCACCATCCGCCACCTCTTCCACTTCTGGGAGCAAAACTTCCACTTTCCTGATCCCCTTTTTCTTGTTTCCATCCTCCGCTATATAGGCCTCTTTGAAAGCAAAAGCTACCACATCGTAAAGATTGCGACATCGCATTCTGTCACATGTGGATCAAGACATTGGGCCTTGCTCCACTGCTTACCAAACGTGCAAAAAGAGAACGCAATCTTCCGCTAGAACATGGAAAGATATGCCGCCATTTTTTGTGTCTTTCTGTGCACGTGCTGACTCTGCTGAGTAGTGGAACGGGGCTTATTTGCTCAATCACCCTGATACCAAACCTCCTCGCCTCACATCCAGTCCGTCTATTTTGCCTTTGCCTCCGACTGGAAAGAACGCGACGTCTATGACCTACCTCGTTGGGTCCGTCCTTCGCACTCTTTCCTCCAGAAGCGAAGGCGGTCGTCTTCTCGCAGCACTACATGCTTGACTGCATGCCAGCCTGATTTCCTCCCTTACCTCACGCAGGTTCAAACTGCCTCCTCGAGTAGAAAGAACACAGCATTGATGACCCACCTACCTCCTAGGGTCTGTCCTTCGCACTCTTTCCTCCAGAAGCATGCCTCCTCGAGTAGAAAGAACGCAGCATTGATGACCCACCTACCTCCTTGGGTCTGTCCTTCGCACTCTTTCCTCCAGAAGCGAAGTCGATCACCTTCTGGCAGGGGCATGCACGCGACTGCTTGCCGGCCTGATCTCGTCCTTACCTCGCAGATTAGGAGTAAGGACAGTGGAATCATAATTCAAAATTCAAGGGTTCAAATCCCCTCCCCCCCCTCTTCCACCAGTCATCCGCAACTCAGTCCCCACCGATCGCCAATGACTCATTTCATCTGTCCGTCCTTTCCACTCAATCTCAAGAATCTCAACTGAATCACGACTGACAGGAGCAGAGACCATAATTGAGGTTCAAATCCCGGTTCCACAAACCGCCGACAACTCAGTGCCCACCCATCATCTATGACCCAGTTCACCTTTCGATCGTGAATCACTCAATCTCGACCGAATCTTAACTGGCAAGACGTGGGGCTAGTAAAATTACGCACCCAAAGAGCAGAGAGAAGCAAGTTTCACAATGCAGCAATCGATCACCATTTCAGACCGGACGTGAGACATCACAAGCAAAAGACAACTCATGCCTGCTAATTCCTGACGATCGTCAAATCAATAGCAGGGCCTACACCAGGCCCGTGTTCCCCACATATGTTTGTTCCTTTCCCTCCGTAGCAGGCCATAGGAAAAAATACCATCATCAAATGAATTTGGTGAAAGGGGAAAACTACATAACCGGATGCAGCCCACAAGTTACAAACACAGCAATGATTCCGCAGCCACTCTCCATCCGACGACAAGCAACGGCAATAGTACTGCAAAACAGAAGCAATACAAAGAAGATTAGCATGGGTCCTTCACAAGGATGACACACATAAATTGAGAAATCGGCCATATTAAAAAAAAAAAAAAAAAGTTCCAAAACTGCAAAAAAAAAACAGAAGATGCCAAGCCAAAAGATGTGCGAAACAGGAATTCAGAAACCCTAAGCATTTTTTTTCCACGTAATATATTTGAGAGACGGACGGAACAGGAACACTTGGCCTTAACATTCGGCATATAGCAAATCGAGGGGCATACTTGCACAGTCTAGGAATTATTCGGCTCAGCTCGGGACGTAATTGTGGTCAGATGCATGCAGGCGAGTCCAAAAATCCGCTCAGGTACATTCAGGAAAATTCCTGGTTTGAGTATTCTCTCAGTGGGGGCCCAAAAACATGCAGAACTGCCATACGGAGTATGTAAAGCACGCTTTTGTTTTTTTGAGGTATCGACGAACGACTTGAGATTGACTTGTTACGTGCGTTTGACATATTCTTTGTGTGTTTGACATGCTGACGTGTGCTCTTCAATTACTATGAACTGCCCCCCAAGAGTAAAGCGAGCTCAGCTTTTCTTTTTTCCTTTTTTTTCCCCAAACACAACTTAAACCACCAGTACCTACCGGTGGTCAAGGCCCGTGGCTCAGGCTACCGGTAGGCCGGTCATTCCCGAGCCTCGACTTTATTGCCGACCCTCGGACAACCGGTAGTACACAACAGGAAAAAAGAAAAAAAAGAAAAAAAAGAAAAAAAGAAAAGAAACAAGGACAACAATCTGAAAAAAAAAAAAAAAAAACACGACATCAGACGTTTCCATCGAGAATGAATCTTCCTCGATAAAGAGGAAGATTCATGAGAGAGAGAGAGAGAAAGAACGAGGCGTCAGCCAGTGTCTGACGCTGAGTTTGGTGCACCGTGACCCCTCGTTCTCTCTCTCTCTCTCTCTTTCTCTCTCTCTCTCTCTCTCTCTCTCTCTCTCTCTCTCTCTCTCACACTGTGTCTCTCTCTCTCTCTCTCTCTCTCTCTCTCTCTCTCTCTCTGTCTTTCTGTCTGTGTACGTTGAAATGGGAATGAATCTTCCGCGATAACGCGGAAGATTCAATCTCATTTCAACGTCTTTCTCTCTCTCTCTCTCTGAAACGAGAATGTTATCGCGGAAGATTCATTCTCGTTTCAATGTAGAGAGAGAGAGAGAGAGGGCATCAGCCA